TCCAGTCTGAAGTTGATGTTGACAAAATGGTTGTTTTGTACGCTTCCACAGCTGCTTCGGGGTCTTTAAACCGTTGACCGCGTAATAAATCTTTCATTCTAGGGAATGTAAAGAAATCGTTTGGGCTCAGGTCAGGACTGTACGGAGGATGGCTCATCAGCTCAACGTTTTCCTGCTTCAAAAAATCATTTGCCTTCTGAGCCGTATGGGAGCTCGAATTATCGTGATATAAGCAATGATTTCAGAAGGAAGGATAGGCCCATCTAAATATTTTACTCAAAACTTTTTCATACAAGAAAAAGTAGCGCATCTGTGATAATACAAACGTCATATCATAACACGACGTAATCAGGGTCGGATTTCGTAGTATAGTTATTATCTTAATTGTACCATTATTTCATAGTTTGTAGTGCGTAGTATCGTAATAATACCAAGCGAAAACACCATAATTTTACCTAAAGGTCGACTTGTAACACTTGTATTATTATTGGGTCCTTTTACTTTTTAACATTAACCCTACGATATCGAGAATTTCTATATTGTACATGAGTACCGCGTTTTTTTAAATAAAATTAGAATTAGCTCCCTTTCTGGTCAATCGGTGCTCGATCGATGCATTTATGTTGCATTCTTGATACAATTATAATGAGGGGCTACGACAATGAAAACTCTAAGCTCTAAGCAATTGGTTTGAAAACAGAATTTCAAAATTTTTTATGTAGCAGATTTTCAGATTCAATTAAGCAGAAATGGTTTTTTTCGTACTCTTTTCTTTTTACTCTCATTGAATATAAAATATATTAGGTACCGATATTCAAAATTTTACTTACACTAAATTCTTTAGAGATAACGAATTTTTGAGGATCTGAATTCAACCCTGGCCTAATCTTGGTAACGTAACTCAACTAACTGTAAAATAAAACTTTAAAAATGCGTTTATATAATAATTTAATATTAACAAAATGAATATAAGATTATTTTACCGATGATACGATATCCCGTGTTCCTATTTAATCTTTGTATCGTAATTTTTGCACCATTTTACCACGCAACTAGACATATTTATGAAAGGCAAATCTGTCTTGCACGCGCACTACTTTCGACCGAGTCGCGGTGGCCCTAAACTGTAATTTTAGGGCCAGCGCACTGGTCCGTTTTGGTTGTTCGGTTGGCCCGGTCCTCACGCTAGTAATATATAAGTCAATGGATGTAAGATAATGCGACGTTTCGTGTTATTTTTTCAGAGTTCGGCTAACAATTCCGTGATATACCACTCAGCGGTAACCGTTCTGCGTTCCTGTAAAGGAATTGTAGCAACATACACCTTTTTCGAGACAAACGTAGCGACCATTTTCTTTGACACGCTGTGGGAGCGAACCACTTTCGTTGGTTTCGTTAGACTCGGTGCTTCAACATCATAAGTCGAAAAAAGTTCGCTGAGACATTTATTTTGAGATAAGCCGCGATGAAAATTGTGATAAATTATGGCACGGAAATGTTCACGCGTGAGCTCCATTTCTGTTAACGACGTGTCAACTTGAAACCAACATAGTTTTTGTTTTTAAACATTTTTTTAAATTGTTTGAATGTCATTAAGATTCTAAGAGGCCTAAAAAAGGTTTTATTGTAACTCAATGCGAAATATTCTATTCCCGATTATTTCAGTGTGCCCCTCCGTATGGCCGGCCCATTGCCACTTTAGATTATTAATCCGATGGGCGATGTCGGTCACTCCATAGGTCGCTGAGCGACTTTGCTTCCTCATACGGCCAGCAGTGAAGGACCACGTCTGTAGATAGTCGAGTGGCGTATCGCCTATCGCCGTACCAACACCCTTCCCTTGCGATTCCACCTCGACTGCAGTGGTTAGGGGGAGGAATCTCTTCTAGCCGCAGGCCGTAACACACTAACACACATCCAAGCCAAGCCCGACAAGGCCACTCGAGTGACCACCTCTACTACTTTAAGCATGGGTTACCAAGCCACGGCTACTAACCCACCAACCCGCCTCCCGCCATGACAAAGCGGGAACCGGTTCAGGGAAGAGCTGTTTCTTATCTAAACTTACGCAAACTCACTAAGGACTTAAATAATTTTGCTGTCCCAATATATATTTATTCCCTTAATATAATGCCGGTACACTGCCTGCAACTTTACACGGCGCAGGTACGACCGCACATGGAAAGAATATTGTTCCCATCTCTGGGCTCGGGCTCTCCAGTGCCAGCTCCTTCCATTTGATCGCATTCAGCGCAGAGCTGTTCGAATCTTCGGCGACCAAGTTCTTTCCGATCGGCTTGACTCACTAGCACTGTGAAGAGATGTTGCATCTCTTTGCCTATTTTATCGCAATTACCACGGGGAGTGCTCTGAGGAAATGTTCGGACTAATTCCAACTGCACAATTTTACCATCTCACATCGCGACAAAACTCGCGATACCATCCATAGCATCTGAATGAGCGGCGGCCCACCACTATGCGATTTAAAGGTTTTCATCCTCGCACAACTTCCTCGCAGAATCGACTACCACCAGAGGTTTTTCCGGACCGATATGACTTAGGGACCTTCAAGAAAAGAGCTTACTCCTTTTTTAAAAAGCCGGCAACGCGTCTGCAATTCAATTCTCCTGGTGTTGAAGTTATTTATGGGCGGCGGTAATCACTTACTATCAGGTGAGCCGTATGCCACCTCTCTATGCTACCTCAAGCTCGTTTGCCACCTCACCTATAATTTTTTTTTATAAATTGGTCATATTTAGACAGACAGATTTGACAAATTTACGTCTTGTAAACACAAACGTTTTTTTTTAGTTTAAAGTTTAGAACACAAAAATAATATTTAAGTAAGACAACAGACTTTGGCATATTATGTCAATTTTAGTTCCCTGACGGAAAACAGTGGCGGTTCAAATCGATACAGACATTTTGTATGGTATAGCCAGTCCAGCGTACTTGTATATATAGAGGTCAGTGCTTGCAACCCAACCGTACAACCAGTGGCGAATCTAGGGCTCCAAACTAGGGCAAGCCCAAGATATAGTTTTGTTGTTTTTAGCAGTTTAATAAAAATACACCAATCTTGAGCTGTCTCCACTCTTTAATTTCATATTCAGTGCTGTCAAGGACGTGTTTAACAAAGCACACAGAAATTTCGGGCGCTTTCCAGCACCCATGGTCACGGGGGACAGACAAAAATAAACGCGATAAAATCCGTAAAAGTAGTTTTAATCAAATATAGATTGTTGTTTTTAGCAGTTTTATAAAAATAAACCAATCTTGAACTGTCTCCACGCTTCAGTTTCATATTCAGTGCTGTCAAGGACGTGTTTAACAAAGCACACAGAAGGCATACCACTGCTAGATAGATTGTATTACATATCAGCAATTGCATAGCTTCGGTGGCTTTGAAGAAAGCCGTTTGGGTTTGTTTAAGCGAAAGAAAAAAAATATTTACATCCAATACAATACATGAACAAAAGTAAAACACGAACAAAGTACAAACAAACTATGCACAAAATTAAAAAAAATTATTTACATTCTAATGGATAAGAGATAAGATAAGATAAGTGGAATCGTCTTGCTTTCTTATGGAAAGATTTAATTACGTCCACGTAAAATGTTGGTGAACGTTTTAATTGTACCAATAACTGTTTTTAATTGCGATAATTGATAAGTCTGAAATACACTCTTAACCTTGTGTATAATCTCAACAAAGTTTAAAGATTTTACCTTTTCCTCTCTGATTATCACTTTAAGACACTTCAATTCATCACAAGGAACACTATTATCTTCCATTTTCACTAAAAATCTTTAAAAAAAGCATAAATTTTGAACTCGTAATATTAAATCTTTTAAGATAAGCACACAGAGTAAATAAACATTGAAATGTGAAATGAACTTGCAAACGTATTGCCCGCGCGCTTCCGCTTTTAACAAATTTATTCCCAAAAGCCTGGCTTTAAATCTCTATACTAATTGCTATATATACAATCGTAGTTATATTTCATTATAGAATATTTTGCCATAGGTTAGAAAGAGAGCGATCGTCTTCTCGAAAGCCCCGTAAAAAGCCCACGTGAGCGAGGGAGACAACTATTAGCTCTATTAAAACTCATTTTTTATGACAGCAGCAGTATCGCTAAGGCAATACGAGGTCATCGGTCGACATGTGTCGAACAGTGGAGTGCGCGGGAAATTTGAAATAGCTTGAAACATTTTACGAGTTATTTTATTAGTTGATATTATTGATTGATTCAGGTTTAATAAGGCAAGCCCGGCTTTTCGGCTTTAATGGAAGCTTCGCCACTGAGTGCGCGGGAAATTTGAAATGTTATTTTATTACTTGATATAATTGATTGATTCATCTTAATGAGGCAAGCCGGGCTTCTGGGCTTGTATAGAGGCTTCGCCACTGCGTACAATCCAGATATTCTTTTAAAACAATCACGAGCTCCTATTTCCATCGGTAGAGTTGTTTCACCACTTTTAGACATCCCGTGGAATGAAGTTTCCTCCCCAGTGACAAAAGAAAAGGAACTATTCGACCTTGACTTTCGATCAGCCTTAACGTTAAATGTCATTGGCAATATAGTGATTTTGCTGATTTGAAAGGTTAGGAATTTTTAATTATAGTGCCAGCCGCCAAATAATCGGGGTGTTTAACCCTTGGGGCAATAACACAAACCTATTATGAAACTGCCATTTAAAATCAGACTTCATTGTAACACTTTAATATGGATGACGGCGGAATCTTAATTTAAATTCTTTACATTTTTCTATATTGCAATAATTGTTATCGTTATATTTTATTCATAATATTATTACAAATAAAATATCCGTAATAATATTAGCATTGCTGATTAATCTCTTATTTATGAATATGTTTTCATGTAATCATGTAATAACTCTAAAAATCTTTTTCAAGTTTAAGGTTGTATTTCACACAATCTTATAGGTTTTCAGTTCACTTCTTTCATAAGAAAGGTAAATTTTTATTGCAGGCATCGAAAAATGACATGTACGAACCAAGGGTCGACGAACGGAAACTACACGTATGTAACACAATTGTCAAATGTGGCAATGCCAACGATGCCGCAACCGATACCCCTTCCACCCCAGCCGATGTACCAGAGATATACGATACCGCCACCACCGCTACCTCAACACCCTCCTCTACCGCATTTGGATAATTATAACGTACCGCGTAAGTAGCACTACCATCGCGTTTATTTTATGAAATTAGTACGAAGTTTCAAATACAATTTTGTCTATTTTATATTTTATTTTTAATACGTTTATTTGCATAACGATATATTAAATATTTATAACATGCAGCACATTTTGAAACTATATGGATGATCGTTGTGACTATTTTCAGCAATTTCAGCAATACCACCTCCCGCTATTCCTCAAGAAATGCTCCAGAATGCTGAATACACAGCGGAAAATCCCCGAAGTGATGTAATACCGACCTCGTAAGTTTCTTTACAATATCCAATAATGGAATATAACTTTATTATCTTTCATATAATGAGTTTCCGAAAATATCGCACTAGGGTGAATCAACTTTTAAGAACCTCCTTTATCAACATTTTGTAAGAACCAACTTATATTTTTTTGACTGAAATTAAAAGGAATCTTATATAAGATGAAGTTTAATATATCCTAGTTTTCATTATTGTCAGTGACCTCGATATTAAATTTATGTTTTTATTAAGTTAAAGGTTAATTTTGTGAGCCGCGCTTGAATTTTTTTTCTTGCGTTACGTAAATAGAAATGATTTTTCTTAGTAAATAAAAATCAGTTCAAGTACTAAGCAACAAAAATCGTTTATTAATACATAAAAGCAACCTTCATACACAAAATACATAAAAGTTTATTGAAAAATGTAACCAATATTTTACTTAAATCAGCATTTATTTATAGAAAAAAATAGCAAGAAGATCAATTCATCAAAACAACTCAATTCAATAAAACTGTACTCAAGTATACTTTTCACGAATTGATTTTTTAAATTAAATAAAGTAATAAACTGAAAATCATCAAAGTGTCTATATTATACAGTTATAACTATATCTATCCGATAACAATTTTAACACATTTTAGGTGTTGATCAGATGCGCCACGTGTATTACGGTAACGCATAAGAAATATTCTCTTGCGTTACTAGTAATATTCTCTGATGTTACCGGTAACACAAGCGAAAAAACTTAAGGAAACAAGAAATTAACGACTCAAATATCAACAAGTCTACAAATTTGTGTTTTGACATTGATATTACATCGAAACTACATGGGAACAAGCAAATTAAATAAAAATATCCGTTATACTTACGCAGATTCACGTGGTCACGTAGCAGAAACACAGTACTTAAACCCACACACCCTCTCCATGCACTTTCCTCGAATTGACCGGCGGCTCGAGACAAATCCCTCTCTATCGATGTTACCTAAGAATTCTCAGACAAAACAATAGCTGTGGAGTGTTGAAACGCAATTTCTCAGATTAAGTAGAAAGTACTTACTCTAGTAACTTAAAAGAGCGGCAATGTGAAATAGTTTTTGGGGACAAAGATTGAAAAATATTCTTATAAATTACGTTATTTATAATGAAATCGTAATTGAATTATTATAGTGCAGTTTAATTAACTGTTATTAAAAACATGTACAAATTCAAGAGTGTTCTCTAACAGAAAAAATAATCACTAAGAATGTAAAGAGTAGATAACTATAGGTTAGTTTAGGGACAAATAAGTTTTGTATGTGCGACTGTTTTTGTATACAGCGTTACTATCAAAAAGTATTTTTGTTTATTTTATCTATAAGAGTAAATTACTTTAGTAGAAGTAAAACAAATCTAATTAAGGTTTACAAATGTCTATCATATCATAATAAATGAATTTTTTGTCAATATTTCCAATTTCACTACGAGGACAGCAAAGGAGTTAAAGGCAACTTAAAAGTTGATTCACCCAATAACTAATGAAAATATTTAATATTATTTAAATATAAATAAGTGACAACATACTTAGTTCCAATATTTGTTCCAGCAACTATCCAACAATGATGCCAAATCAAGTGCCTATGGGTCTCAATCAGAACGGTATGATAATTCCTATTCCCGAAAGACCCTTCTATCAAAGCAGCATTATGCCGAACAACCTTCATTTCCAAAGGCCCGAGTACGTAGGACCGGTATTCCCGTGTCTGAACACGACTGCTTCCATCGGCGGATATCAGAACCAGGATCAGAATGTATCGACACAGATTTCAAACAATATGTTCGTGCCGGTTCAACATGAGCCATCCAGAAGCAGTCCCTATTCATTTGATGATCGTAAGCATTATTTTTAGTTTTCTAGCAGAATTTAGTGTGTAAGAGATTAATAAAAAGTTCTTTAAATACCAACTTAACATGCACATCAAGCAATGGATTAGAAAGGCTGTTAATGAGTAATAAGATAAAATGTAAGGATAAAGAAGTTATTTGAAATATTTATAGTGCCTGAACAATAAAATTTACACATCGATAGTTTGAGAGTATCAGCTGTAATCGACTAGGTTAGGTTTTACAGGTAGTTGTCTCTGACTTTTTAGTCGCTGTACAAATTAAGCAGGGTTCGATTAAATTCCCTTTTGAAGTTTATAATAATGTAGAGTTTAAAATCTATACGTTATGAGCATTTTTATACAGTTTTCTTTACAGTTATTAATAGATAAGACTGTTTGCACTTTTTATGCGACAGAGATGACGTTTATCAAAACTATTTAAAGCCAATAGTCTTCCTAAAGGTTGATAATAATATTTACGGTCAGGTATTGAAAGGTGACTTATATATTTGGTGCTTTATTTATCATTCTCAATGTTTTTCTATTTGTATACATTAAAAATATTATAACATAAATACATCTAAAATAAAAAATATATAACTGAAATCAATTTTCCGTAAATAAAAACGTAACCATATTAAAATTGTATCCTAATAGCTCATCGAGCTTCGAATTAAATATTTGCTCTGATAATTTTTATACACGGATTGTTAAATTTGTATTTTAGTCATAACTTTTCAAACAATTGGAAAACAATACAGTGTCACTTCTCTTAAGCTTAGCTTAACGAGTATTCGCGAATTGTCTAATTTCTTAGTCACTCTGTTTGAAGCTTCCTTATATGTATTGACGTGGATTTCAATACTGCATTCCATTTTAAAATTTATTATATTGAAATCCCAAAAGGTTTTCATGAAAACTTTCTAACAATAATTATCATCATCATCGTTACAGCCCTTCACAAGTTCGCTGCTGAACATAGGCCCGCAAGGAATGCCACAAAGCATGGTCCTAAACTACCTGCATCCATCGACTTCCTGTATGTCTTACCAAGTCGTCACTCTGTTTAGTGGGGCTTTCAGTCAGTCGTATGCGCGTTGCGTCAACGCAGTGACAGCACTACGTCAACGCAACGCTGACGCAACGCACCTTGTGTACTTACCCTTATGTAAAGTTGGCCAACGGGTGTGTGTGTGGTCTATGGTACTAAAGCCCTTCCTGAAACCGGCTTTTTCGGGAAGCTGGAAATCATTGAGACTGCGTGCGAGACGATAAACTATGTCTAGACAATAGCGCGTGGACGCGTTTCAGAAGGGAAATCGGTGTCTGTAGTTCTTCAACAGCCTTTCTTGAACAACAAGACCTCTGAACTTCTGCTCCATGCCTACGGAGTAGTGGAGGATGGAATTGAAGAGCTTCTGAAGTCCTTCAAGTGCTGGTTTTTCACCCGCTGTAATTCCACCATCTTACCATTACCATTAAAGTCCCCGCGTCTTACCATTTTAAAGGTACTGGAAAGCCATTCTAATCTTGCTCAGACTGACTTCCAGAATATCTTTAGAATAGTGTCGGATAAGACTTGCTCTCGTGTCGTCACTCACACTTGTGTGGCTCCAGCAATGACCTCTACAACTGCCGTAGAACCTATTAATCTCACTGAAGTTCTCAGGTGTCCTGGAAACGATGCTACCACATGTAGTTCTCAACATCGACAGTTGGCTCTTTCTGGTAAAAACACATCTCTGGCAAAGACTTCGGAGCCTTGCTTTCTTGCGATTGCTTCTTCAATACTAGCTGTATTGAAGTTGCATAAGTATCGCCGCATGCATTTTTAACAATATTACAACATTGATAATAATTCATTCTTTCTTCCTTCCATAATAGCCGTTTCATGCTTTTTTATAGAAGAGGGGGCAAACGAGCATGCGGCTCACCTGATGTTAAGTGACTACCGCCGCCCATGATGAACCGCAACACCAGGGGATTTGCAGGTGCGTTGCCGGCCCTTTAGAAAGGAGTAAGCTCTTTTCTTGAAGGTCCCCAGGTCGTATCGGTCCGGAAAAATCGCCGGTGGTAAACTATTCCACAGAGAGGTTGTACGCGGAAGAAAACTCCTTTTGAAACGTACTGTGGTGGACCGCCAAGCATCCAGATGGTGTGGATGGTATCGCGACGTTTGCCGCGTAGTGCGTTCACGAAATTTGGCGGCTGGGATTAATCCGAACAATTCCTCAGAGCACTCTCCATGGTATATGCGAAATAAAATGCAAAGAGATGCAACATATCTTCGCAGTGCCAGTGAATCGAGCCGATCGGAAAGCACTCGGTCGTCGACGATTCGAGCCGCTCTGCGCTGGATGCGGTCAAGTGGAAGGAGCTGGTACTGGGGAGCCCCAGCCCAGAGATGGGAAAAGTATTCCATGTGCGGCCAAACCTGCGCCTTGTAAAATTGCTGGCGGTGTGCCGGCATGAAATACTGTCCCGCTCTGCTGAGCACGCCAAGCTTTTTAGAGGCCAATTTGGCCTTCTCTTCCAAGTGACCACGAAACTGCACGTCACTCGATATGTGAACGCCGAGGGGGTTAAACTGGACTAGATTTAGTCGCCCCCAATCCGAGACTGTTTAGCAAAGACTCGACTTCAGACACAAGTTTGTCCCGGCACTCGGAGACGTTTTCCCGAGAAATATTGGCTCGGCCGCTGTAAAGAGCATCACCAGTGCTGTCATCGCATAGCAATGAATGTTACGGGTTTGCAACATATCATTGATATGCAGAAGAAACAGCGTTGGCGATAGCACGCAGCCTTGTGGAACACCAGCATTAATAGGCTTGCAATCGGAGCTTGCACCGTCTACAACGACCTTGATGCTCCGATCTGCAAGAAAGCTGGTGATCCAATCGCACAATTTCTCGGGAAGCCCATAGGAAGGGAGCTTCGAAAGAAGCGCTTAGTGCCAAACCCGATCGAAGGCCTTCGCAATGTCCAAACTAACGGCGAATGCCTTCCCCCTTGGACTCTACTGCCTCCGCCCATCTGTAAGTTAGGTAGACCAGAAGATCACCAGCTGACCGACCACGGCGAAAACCGTATTGGCGGTGACTAATCAGCTGGTGATCCTCAAGGTACCTCATGAGCTGGCAGTTTACAATGGACTCCATTGTTTTGGAGAACAAGGAGGTGATGGCGATAGGCCGGTAGTTGGAGGGGTCTGAGCGGTCGCCTTTTTTAGGGATCGGATGGACGAAAGCCGTCTTCCATGATTTTGGGACTACGCCTAGGGAGTAGGAGCACCGGAAAAGACGCGTTAAAACCGGTGCCAACTCTGGAGCACACGTCCTCAGCACAATTGGGGGGATTCCGTCAGGCCCACTCGACTTGTGGATGTCCAGGGAGAGGAGTGCTTTGCGAACCGAGCGCTGTGTGAACTGCACTTCCGGCATGGAGCACTCACACCGCGGGATGGTCGGCGGCGTACTCCCCCGTCATCGAGAGTCGAGTTGGACGCAAAGAAAGAGCCTAGAAGATCGGCTTTCTCCTTTGCGGCTTGGGACAGTGAGTCGTCCTCCCTGTGCAGAGATGGAAGAGATGGCCGACAGAAATTCCCCTGGACAGCCTTGGCGAGAGACCAGAATGCACGGGGTCCAGAAGGAAGGCGAACAAGTTTCTCGCCAATTCTGCCTATGTGCTCTGACTTTGCCTTAGCAATGACTCTTTTGAAGGACCTAGAGCGGAATTATACTTCTTTTTTATAGCGCTGGTGTTTACATCCCGGGACGCTGATGCGTCAGCCCAGGCTCGGTAGCACTCCTGATTATAGCATGATGCTATTTTACAGGAGCGACCAAACCATGGCTGAGATTTGCCTCCAATGGGCACCACAGAGGAAGGAATAAAAAGTTCCATACCCTGAAGTACCACATCAGCGACAGAATCCGCAACAACGTTGGGATCGTCCGGCGAGAAGCAAACCCGCCCCCAAGGGTAGGATGCAAAGAAAGACCGCATCCCATCCCAATCGGCTGACCTATAGTGCCAAACACGGCGGCAGCCTCCAGAATGCAACTGCGATTACAGCGTGAATGGAACCACACTCCGGACAAGACAATGGTTCGAGGAGCCTAAAGGGGCTTCGACGGAAATCTGATATCCGTCCGGGTGAGAGATCAGCAGAAGGTCCAACAGGGAAGGTGCATGATCCTCCACATCTGGAATCCGCGTAGGCGAAGTAACCAGTTGTGTCAGACCATATACCAGGGCAAAATCATGAACAGATCTCCCCGCATGATCGGTTAAACGTGAACCAAGCCATTCGGCGTGATGGGGGTTAAAGTCGCCGAGGATCACGATCTCTGCGGAGGGGATCTGCTGTAGCAACGAATCTGTAGCCATTTGGACGTGGTCGAAGAGTCGGTCTGTTTCGCATTACCGCTATGGGACCTATAGAGGCATCCGTAGACGCGCGGATGGTCGTCGCTGTCTACGCGTAGCCAGAGGATGGACAGGTCCGAACTCTCTGACGTAAACGCAAACTCCAGCCCGAGGCACAAAGGAGTGTTCCAGTTTGTACCCCGGGTAGGAGAGATACGAGACATCAGCCGGAGAGGACACCTGCGTCTCGGTCAGAAAGAGCAGAGCCGGCCTCGCCGTCTCGAGATGGTAGTGGACGGCGTTTAGGCTAGAGTGAAGTCCCCCTGATATTGCAGAAATTCACGGACAGCGTGGCAGTGGTCGCCTTGGTCTTGTTGCTCCGTTTGCCCCGAGCAGTTGTAGTCTTGAGCGGAATTTTGCCCCCCCCCCCCAGAATACGCGGGGAAACCTGAGCACCCACGCTCAGAAGTGGAGAAACATGGTCGTGGATGCTCAGCGAGGGATTCTCCAGGGGTGCTGGTACCCTCCTGGGGTAGTTTATCATTATTTAATTCCGCTACCATGTTGATGGGAGGGGGGGGGGGGTTGGGCCTCCGGCCACCTGCACTCACCAGACGAAACGCGGAAGCAGAGCTTCCACTTCACACCGGTATTCTGTGAGGTCGTGGTACCACCCCGGTTTGAGCCGGCCCATACGTGCAACAGCAAAGCTGCCGCGTGGCTCTACCACTGTTAAACTGCTGTGTATTTCAACTCTACACGAATGCACCAACTGGATTTCCTAAGTAGGGTACAACGCTTGATTTTGGATACGATACATATAGTTTTGAATTTAATTTTCGTTCTTATATACTATTTTCTATATATATATATGTCTATATATAAAAGTCTAATATATATATATAAGAAAATAGTCTATATATGTCTTATCCGACACTATTCCGATGATATCCCGGACGTCAGTCTAAGCGAGATTAGAATGGCTCTCCAGCACCTTAAAAACGGCAGGGCCCCAGGCGAGGATGGAATTACAGCGGAGCTTCTGAAAGCGGGTGGAACACCGGTACTTGAAGTCCTTCAGAAGCTCTTCAATTCCGTCCTCCATGGTGGCACTACTCCAGAGGCGTGGAGCAGAAGTGCGGTGGTCTTGTTCTTTAAGAAAGGCGACAACGCTCTCTTGAAGAACTACAGACCGATTTCCCTTCTGAGCCGCGTCTACGTGCTGTTTTCGAGAGTCATTACGAATCGTCTCGCACGCAGACTCGACGACTTCCAGCCTCCCGAACAAGCCGGTTTCCGAAAAGGCTTCAGTACCATAGACCACATACATACCCTGCGGCAGATTGTACAGAAGACTGAAGAGTACAATTTGCCACTTTGCCTGGCGTATGTGGACTATGAGAAAGCCTTTGATTCCGTCGAAATTTGGGCGGTGCTGCAGTCCCTTCAGCGGTGCCAAGTTGACTGTTGGTATATCGAAGTGCTGAAGTGTTTGTACAGTAGGGCTACGATGGCTATCCGAGTACAGAACCAGAGCTCGAAACCTATCCAACTGCAGAGAGGTGTGAGACAGGGTGACGTTATATCCCCGAAACTCTTCACCGCTGCTTTGGAAGACGTTTTCAAGCTACTGGACTGGAAAGGATACGGTATTAACATCAATGGCGAGTACATCACTCACCTTCGATTTGCCGACGATATAGTCCTTATGGCAGAATCGCTGGAGGACTTAAGCACTATGCTCAATGACCTCAATAGTGCCTCCCAACGGATAGGTCTTAAGATGAACATGGACAAAACAAAGATCATGTTTAATGTCCATGTCACACCTATGCCGGTAGTTGTTGGGAGCACTAGGCTCGAAGTTGTTGACGAGTACGTTTACCTGGGACAAATAGTCCGACTAGGTAAGTCCAACTTCGACCGAGAGGTCAATCGACGGATTCAACTCGGCTGGGCAGCGTTCGGGAAATTACGACACATCTTCTCGTCAGGTATACCTCAATCTCTGAAAACTAAAGTGTGCAACCAGTGCGTGTTGCCAGTGATGACTTACGGATCAGAGACGTGGTCCTTCACTGCTGGCCGTATGAGGACGCTCAAGGTCGCTCAGCGAGCTATGGAGAGGGCTATGCTCGGAGTTTCTCTGCGTGATAGACTCAGAAATAAGGATATCCGCAGTGAAACCAGAGTGACCGACATAGCCCAACGGATTAGTAAGCTGAAGTGGCAATGGGCCGGCCATATAGCTCGAAGAACCGATAACCGATGGGGAAGAAAGGTTTCTCGAGTGGCAGCCTCGTACCGGTAGGCGTAGTGTAGGGCGACCCCCCACTAGATGGAGTGACGACCTGGTAAGATATGCAGGAAGTCGATGGATGCAGGTGGCTCAGGACCGTGCTTTGTGGCATTACTTGGGGGAGGCCTATGTTCAGCAGTGGACTCGTGAAGGGCTGTATGATGATGATGATGATGATACTATTTTAATAATATTTTTGTCTTACACAGTGCCATCAGAACTGCTGCCAGACTACCGAGTAAAGCCGCTCGGTTTTGGACACGAAACAAGGGATCGTCGTCTAGAAACCTCGTGGTCGCCCACCAACAATGTAAGAAACTATTTATTTTCCGTTAATCTTTTTTTATAATAATATTATCAGTTTTTCGGTAACACATAATATATGTTGTTTATTTCGTGAATAACTGCATACAACGCATATATCCCGCAAAAACGACAACTGCCGAATCCAGTCATCGCCTTAGCCAGTTTATTATGGAGATTTTTATTAAGGATATTCAGTTTTGTAATGTTACAGCGATAAGCCAGTTAACAGTGAAACTGTAAAATGAAAAGTGCCTACTGCACCACACCTTCAACAAAATTGAGAATTAAGTAAGATGCTTCACTATCCGTAATTATGCAGACTTTTTTCCTTTTAAACCTGAACAGTATGAAAGGTAAAAGTATTAATTCTATCCAAAAGAGTCCATATATCCAGAAGAATTTCTATGCAGTACTAATTAGCTATACCAAAATATACCCAAATTTTTTTTAATAGTTAGGAAAGAGTAATGTTTTCTGAAACATGCTGCATTTATTTATACATCGATTAAAAGAGATTACCTACCCAACGTAGAAAGTTTATAACGAGTTAGGTAGAAAAAGGGAGATTTTTTAGGCATGGAATTTTTATATATATACGAGGGTGGATTGAAAAGTACTCGGCCTAACCAAGAAAATAAACACATACTAAATCAGTTATATTTTTATTTTTCTACATAATCACTATCAAGTTCAATACACTTTTGCCACCTCCCCTTCCAAGCATTTAGACCGTTGAAAAAAAAATGATTCTTCCTTTGAGTCAAAATATGCGTCTACAGCTGCTTTGACCTCATCGTTTGTCGAAAATCTTTGACCTCCCAAGTGCTTTTTTAGGTTAGGGAACAGAAAGAAGTCTGATGGTGCCAGATCAGGTGAATACGGCGGATGCGGTAACAGTTCAAAGCCACAGTTGTGAATTTCAGCCATTGACTGTACTGACGTGTGAACACGGGCGTTATCTTGATGAAACAGGACTTTTCTTCGGAGCATTCCTCGACGTTTTTCTTTTATTTCCTCTCGTAAACGACGTAGTAAGGTGCAGTAGTAATCAGAGTTTATAGTCTGACCCCTTTCAAGATAATCAATCATAATCACACCTTTCGAGTCCCAGAATACTGAAGCCATCACCTTATTTGCCGACAAAATCGACTTAGCCTTTTTTAGGGGGTGGTGAACCAGGTCTTCTCCACTGTTTTGATTGTTGTTTTGTTTCCGGTGTACAGTAATGAACCCATGTTTCGTCCATAGTAACAAAACGATTAAAAAAATCATCTGCATCGGCTTCAAATAACTCCAAACAGTCGCGTGAAATAGTCAATCGCGTCCTTTTTTGTTCAACTGAAAGCAGTCGCGGAACCCACCTCGCAGACACCTTGTGGAAACCCAACTCGTTGACAATGATGTTTTGAGTTCGTTCATAAGAGATGCCTATAATCTCGGCTATCTCTCTAATTTTTAATCTGCGGTCTCCCATTATTAAATCAAGTACTTTTTTAATATTTTCGTCAGTAGTTGACGTCGAAGGCCTTCCAGAGCGGGGTTCATCTTTCACACTCTCTCTACCACGCTTAAATTCTGCTATCCATTTTTTGATGGATGAATATGACAGAGCACAATCGCCTAATGTACTGACCATGTCATCATGGATGGCTTTTGATGATAGCCCCTTCTTATGGAGGTACTTAATGACGGCACGCCGCTCGATTTGCTCCATTCGCGGAAATTATGTCCGATTACTTTGTTAATAAATTTATAAAATCACAACTAATTATCGCACACGTTTCGAACTTCACACAATGAACTAGTCTGAACTGAACTAAATAATGTGGGTAGATTTGATTTTTAGAATTGAATGGATCTGTGTTAGGCCGAGTACTTTTCAATCCACCCTCGTATATATATATATATATATATATATATATATATATATATATATATATATATATATATATATATATATATATATATATATATATATATATATATGCGTACTCACGACTGTACATCCCTTATTAATTTGATATTAAGGACCATACTATTAACTTATTTAACATGTATAGTTTTAAATTAGTAAAATAAATAATAAGTAAAATATTTGAATTGTCTAACATCACAGTACCCTAGTGTTCAAGACTGAATTCATGATGAACAAATAAATTCAATATACATAAAGTTCCGTACTTCACATGATGTTCGAAATACGCTATTTCAAAATGGTGAATAGGTGGATGTTTCTTTAAAACTCTCTTTCAATTAGAAGAAATTATTTGTTAGCATAATAACAATTACTGTAATTATACTTGTTTCGTTGTATTGATATGAGTTTTGCAGCGAATATTTTGAATTCAGTCTATTTGACGTTTATGTTTTGAAACAATAACGGCTTTAACCATTATAACGTGTAATGGACATTATGTACGTGATTGTATGAATTACTGAATGATTTATTCATCACATAGAATACAGTGCGGTATAAAAGGAACTCGAAGGAACATAAATGTTATAAAGGTATATAACAAAATAGCCAACGACTTTAAAGAGTTACCTTTAACCATGTTTAAAAAAAGTTGATATAATGGTTAAAAGAAAAATGTTTTTACGACCTAAATGAATTTGTTTTTTTGCGAAAAATAAATCTGACGTCAGTAATATTGGTATATAAATGTAACTAATAATTAATTAATTATGAATAATCTGAAACTATGGACATTAACAATTAAGTACAATCATTACATAATCTGACATTTAAAAATCTACTAGCTTGCCAGGCAGACGTTGTTCTGCCCTTTTCGACAACCCTTTGTCATGTATTAAAAATCCTTAAATTCGCAAAAAAATTGTGGGTCACTCATGGACAAAAAACTGTCCTATCTCTCAAGTTTGACCAAAGTGCACACGGTGTGCAATTTTATTTAAAATCGGTTAAGTAGTTTTAGGAGTTCATCGCGGACAAACAACGTGACACGTAATTTATATATATTAAGATTACTTAAATGACATTATAATTTTGACATCAATTAATTTATCTTGTAATAATCATAAATGTACGAAATTGAATTCCCTTTTGTTCTTTTAAAAATTTTTTTGTATGTATACCTATAAAATATTTGCACACCATATAAAGTGGTAGAATGTAAATGGATCATAACATACGACATAATTTAACTTTATTGTTCTCATACTTTATTGTACACATACATTCTGGCAAATAAATGAATTTGAATCTATTATGCACATTGTATTGACATATTTGACATAATATTTTACACATGAGCTCTGTGGGCTTTGTCTTGTACAGGTACAAAGGGCAGAGGCCATGTGAGGACCACAAATTTTGACGGCATTTATCTCCGAAAATATAATAGAAAATAATAAGAAAAGATAAATTAGAAAATAATATAAATAAGTACACTTATATAATACCATAAAAAGTTATAAATAATAATATATAATTTCATTCATGAACTCACATTGTATGTTTAGTTTTATGTTCTTCGTCTTCCAATAAGCAGCTAATAATAATAATATCAATCATCAATATCCATGACCGAATACGTCAACTCACGACAAGAAAACACTCGAAACTAAATTAAAAATCCGGATACAGTGCACGCACGCCATCGGCAAATCAGTTTAATCCGTTGTGTGCCGTACGTGCGGTGCGTCCGGCGCGGGCCAATGGACGCGTACCTTTAATCAGCCACTTTTCATTTGTGACGAATTTTTTTAGTTACTACCGAATGTTTTAAATGTGGTGGTTCTAAGCTTCGGATATACGTTAGATAAAATATTTTTTTAGTTACAAAAATAATTTATAACTAATATTTCATTTTATTTTATAGCTTAGTTAATTTTATTTCAGGTATTCAATTTTGGAGGTATGAGGAATGCACTAAATTCTACAGGCGCTGATGATGTAAGTAAACCATGAAAAACATAAAGAAATTTTACATACCGTAATACTTATCGTTTTATTAATACTAGCATCGCTTCTGGTCAAAATTGGACTTTTTTAATGTTTAAAGGATTTTGTATGGAAAAGTCATGTGTACATCAGCATCATACACACATGAATTTTTTTCTGCACTTCTATATCAAAACACCAGTACAGTAATTTCTGTTTACATTTTTGAGTTGTTGCTATTCGATTCGTAAATAGTTTGATTTGATATGGAAAATTCTACACTAGTGATAGTCTATTTTAAGTACACCAGTGATAGTGGTAGTGTAAGCCATATATCTCACATCTCATTCTGACAGATTTACAAAGAAATAAGTCCGATGTTAGTCCAGTGCGAGCTAGTGACCTGCACATGTACTCCAAATCCAAATATTTCATTTCTCAGACATACAGGTTTTTACCAACGCCAAGCAGAACTAAAGCTTCTTATTATCATATTATTTTTGATGCTAGCCGAGATTTCTGGTGCCTGGCCTTAGCTTTAGCCACTGAACTCTACAGCTCACCGCTCTACAGCACCAATATAGTAATTCGTTGTCGATATATCATAGCGAGAGTTTTTTTATCAGTTTTTACGGTTCGTTCCGTATTCAAGAGTAAAAACGGAACCTTATTAACACCAGCAGCCGTTTGTCTAGTCTGCCTGTATATCCTTCCATCCAGGTGTCTTCCGTATGTCAGACACCTAGCTCGGAAAATTACAGGCCTTAAATTTAAATATTTAGTATATAATGTTGACCCGAAATCTCCTCTGTTATCCTTATCGCGTATGGACGCTAAATGCACTTTTGCGGTCTTCTGGGAAACTTACTTACCCCGGAAGAAGTGAAAACCCCTATTTCTCCACGATCTGAGTATTGATAGACACAGGAATGGATAAAATAATTTATTCTTATGTCTACCGATCGCACAGCAGTGGCCAGGAGACAACTAGGCTATTTGAACACCTTAGTGAAGCCTCTGATGTGGCTCTAAAACAAAGCTAGTGGACCTGGTGGTTCGCTTCTCATTCAGGACAGGAATTGTAACCAAATCTTAAAAGCTAGCAAATGGGCAGCCGTGCCGACCCTGCCAACTATTGGCCTACTTCAATTACTCTATAAGTCTCCATTTACACGGCTGCGAAACGGAATGGAAGCTAATTTTTGTAATGAAATTGTACATTGTAAAATGAGTCTGTTAACAAACGTCACACAAACGCACAAACTAGATATGAGCCCAAAAAGAAGTCGTGCGTTTTCCGGGAACTCTAGAGAATTCCCATAGCTACTGTCAGAAGAAGTACTGTCTTCTCAGTGACAGCCAGTACAGGTTCCGCCGAAATCGGTCAACTGGGCACCTTCTAGCGTATACCTCTCATATATAGGCCGAAGTCATGAACGGTGGAGAAACACTTGCTGTTTCCATTGATGTCTCGAAGGCCTTAGACAGGGTTTAACACGCTTGCCTTTCGGGCAAGCTTTCAGCTTGCTTACCCCTGCATGATGGTAGGACTTTCTGAATGAACGATCTCTTCGTGTCGTCATCGATTGCTGCTTGTGTAGTTCTATCGCAATAAACGCCGGAGTTCCTCAAAGTTATTGGTCAAGGTTGAGTGTGCGAATCTCTTACTGCAGGCAGTCTCCAAATGGGGCGATGCTAATCTCGTGAGATTCAACACCAAGCCACAAGCGTGTCTTCTCCCCGCTTAGAGAAGCCCGCTTACTCTGACTCCTACTTTCCGGAATGTATCCTTGGAGTACATAGGTACTGACCGCCATTCCCAATCTTCAAAACCTACGACAGATCCATTATAATGTAGTGAGTGGTAAGCACAAGCGCTCTACCATGCTCGAGCTTTGTACTTTTACTTGCTTAAATATAGGGGTTTATACCTGGTTTTATTAGTATTAATTTAAACACATTTTAATGTCCGTTTTGAAGACAATGTAAACAATTTCCTCAAAAACAATATTATATTTTAAGGCTTACATTATTGAAAATGCAAACAATTTCTCTTCTAAATTGAATCATCTTCCACGACATTTTTATTACACTGTACTAACGCCGTATTAAGGAATACTTGGATGTACATAGTAAAAAATTTCGAAGTTTAAATAACTAAATATTTTAAATAAATATTTTTATATATTCTATAACAAAACTCCTAATCCTATAATTTTTTTATTTGGTTTGAGTTTTCTCCGAACTTCAATTATGGGCGGTTCGTAAAATCCAGGCTCAAAGCAGCCGCAAGGAAACTAGGTGTCTTTGCAAGGATGCGGCAGTACTTCACTCTGGGGCAGTTTCTTATGTTATATAAAGCGCAAGTCCGGTCGTGCAGAGTGCAGCTGTCACATATGGGCTGGGGCTGCAAAAGCCATCTAGCAGCGTGGGACTTAGTGGAGAAACGTGTTAAGAGGGGCCCATTGGTAACCTTGATTTGGTTCAAACCAATCTTGTCAGCCTTGAGCACAGGCACGGAGTAGCAAGCATTTCGGTAATTGTGCGCACGAACTACAAGCTTTAACACCGCCTGCTCCTTTCCAACATCGGACTACCAGGCGGTCAACGGGTCATCACCCCTTCGTTGTTGATATTCCACGCATTAGAACCAAACGTTTTGCTTCGTATTGTAATGTAATGCGTACAGCATAGAGAGTGGAATAATTTGCTTCTTCTGGGAGTCTTCAAAGCAAGAATGAACAGGCTTTTGTTACGCTTAGACAGTGCGATTTACCATCTAGAGCTACATCACCACTGACCACCGGGTGGGATGGTGGTCTACCACTGGCTTATCACAAAAAATGCTCACAGTTAAGCCACTTTTTTAATTGAGGGCGTAGCAGTGAACAATAGCTATAGCAGTGATTACAATAGATTTATTACTGATCAAGTGTGCTAACTCTAATCCACCTAAACTTGATAGACACACACCACAAAATAAAAATATTTTGTGTTAATTTTTTTTCAATAAGATTTTACTTACTACTCTTGTATATTTGCAGCTATTTACAGTTCCCGGGGACAGACGTGCAGTAGGTGCTGACAGACTTGTGGGCGTTGCAAATGCTGTCTCAGAATTTTCTAATCGAGCAGATGATGTAAGTGTTCACTTTTGTTTCATAAAATCTCGTTGGCATAAATGCTTAGTATATCCGCTTCTAATTTTATTTTTGTAATGTAACTTTAGTTAACAGACAATCTGTAAAATTATCTGTTGCGGATATTTCAATATTTACATTATGTAATTTAAATCATATAAGAGGTAAATCATGAATATTTTATCCGAGTTCCTATATGTTTACATTTATAACTAAGGAGCTTATAAAATTTTTGAACATTAACATAATAAAGATGCTTCCAAAATCAAAACTGGTTAACAAAACACTTATCATTTAAGCGTGAGCTGGCAAATTATGTAATTTTTACCACTTATTCTGTCAGAGTTGTAGAGGTAATTATATGAGTAAGAATAGAAGTTTTTGGATCCAGAAACTAAACCACTGTAAACCACACAAGTTTAATTACTACGAGTATCGTGCAAGTATAAGTCAGACAGTGTGTTTTGTTACTTCCCAAATATATAAATATATGAAAATTACTTTAGCGGTTTGACTCCAATAATTATGCTCTTATAATTACTCAAAAAAACCAAATCATTACGTTTACACCCTAGGGTGGGTACTCGGAAACACGTGTTCATTTATCCACCCCAGACGGGGTCGATAATCGGAATTCGTATATTATTTTCCCCCTCGGCTGCCTACAGTCATTTATAGAAACATGATAAAAACTGGTCCAAGATACTTATTAGACATTAGCATACCTATAAAAATATCTTTATAATAATACTTCTTATTTAAAAGGTCAAAGTTGAAATAAAAGGAGTGTCTCACAGGTATATATATTAGTATAATATAATGATATGAGGTATAGGTATATATAATATAATTAATAAAATTACATAAAAACCGACGCAACTACTATTTTGTTATAAAAAAACACCACGAAAGGAAAAATAAATCAGTTTTATGCTCGTACTGTAAAATTTACACAGAGCCGTATAAAGGCTCAGATGGTTAACGCTCGCTGTAAATATAACAGTACGCGAGTAACCCGGGTTTGATCCCCGCCGGCATCAATGAAATTATTAATTGCAATTTTAAGTGCTGATGTACCACGTGCTCGGCGGTGAAGGAAAACATCGTGAGGAAACCTGTATGTCTGAGGAATACGAAAATAAATATTTCGAAGACATGTGAAGTTCGCCAACACGCATTGGCGCTGCGCGGCGGACACTTCCTTGCCCTAAACCCTCTCAGAAATAAGGGGAGGCCTGTGCCCAGCAGTGGGACGTATATAGGCTGTAATGCTTCCTTTACTTTACTGTCAAATTTGTTTGTATGTAGATAGAAGATCTCAGAAGTTCACGGACTATATGTGTATCTGTGTCTGTCTGTGGTAATGTAGCTCCTAAACGGATAAACCGATTTAGATTCTTTTTTGTTTGAGAGGAGACTTGTTAATAGAGTTTGTTCATAGCTATGATTCAGGAAAAAGATTATCAGTCCTCCTTTTGTTTCGGGTTTTTTTTTTAATTTTTAATTTAACTTATTTCATTAATTAAAAAATAAATATTTAATCCATTTTGTGATTTATTTTACTTTTATTTGAATTCACTAATATATTAAGGATTATGGGGATAATTAAAGATATAATACTTTGAACATAAAACGTGCTTTTTATTTACCTTAAAAAAACAACATGGAGAGCCTATAATGTCATATAGAATCTTCCTTCATAACCACAGACACAGTGTTGACAACCGACGCAGTGTTGCCATTAAAATACAATATTATATAAATCATTGTTAATTAACACCTCCCCCCAATGATTTATATTAACAGAACTAACATTACAATAATTTCAAACATTACAATGAATAAGTAAGAACTCTACAATGATTTGTATTAACAAAACTAACAAACTAAAAATACACAATGCGAACTAAACTCTATTCCAATCCTAATTTATGTACAAAATAATTATGAGAGGTTTTATTTAATGGTTTCGTAAAAATATCAGCTATTTGTTGCTTTGTAGGTATATACATAACACAAATTTCCTTACATTCTATTTTATGTTTAATAAAGTTGTATTTTATGTCCACATGTTTCATCTCTTTATTCTCTCTATTCTTTTTTGATCAGGATTACATACAGAAAATATTGTACTTTTATTGTATTCATATATGGTAGTGGTATTACAACTAACGTCTAACTCATTTAATAATAATAATAATTCCTAATCCAACAAGCCTCCAGAGCGGCTTCATTGAGGGAGTATAACTCTGCCTCAGTAGTGCTTAAAGATACAGTGCTCTTCTTTTTGCAACGTCAAATAACACTGTTATCAAATACTTTAAATACATAACCAGTTATAGATTTCCTATCTTTATCTACAGCAAAACTAGCATCAGCATATCCAACTAGTGGTTCGGAATTACAATTCTTATTATATTTTAAATTATAATTAATGGTACCCTTAATGTATCTTAAAATCCTTTTCAAGCATTGCCATAACCTTTCTGATGATCTAGATTGATATCTTGCTAAATATGAAACAGCAGCACACAAATCAGGTCTTGAACCTACTACAGCATACTTTAAAAAACTTATACAAGCTCTGCATTTATGCTCTAAAGAGTAATCAACCGTACAATCATCAAAATTAACATTAACTTCCATGGGTGATTCACTAGCATTTCTTCAGACATACCAAACTTTGTCAATATAGATTTTAAATACTCTTTCTGGTTAATATACAAACAGTCACTATATTGATTAATATTAATACCCAGATATTTTAAAATTTTAGATCCTAAATCTTTCATTTTAAATTCTGTGCTTAAAATTTCTTTAACATTATCCTTGAATTGTCCTCACCTAAAATTAATAAATCATCCACATACAACAAAATGTAAATACCATCCTTAAAATATAAACTATAATCACTTTCTGCTCTTTGAAACCATTTACCTTTCATAAAATCATAAAATTTATTGTACCAATTTTTTGAAGATTTTTTAAGACCGTAAAGTGATTTTTTCAATTTCAAGACATAATTTGTATTTATATTTACACCAGGTGGGGCTTTAAGTATACAACATCATCAATTTCACCATGAAGGAAAGGACCTTTAACATCTATTTGATGATTTAAATAGTTCCTTTGAACAGCTAATGATAAAAGAACTCGGAGAGTTTGTAATTTCAAAACGGGAGAATAAATTTCGGTAAAACTACCTTCCTGTTGAAACCACCTTGCAATTAATCTAGCTTTGTATACATTACCCGCCTTTTTTGTAAAAATCCATCTACAATCAATTAACTTAGCATCGTTTGGTCTTTCTACAACTTCCCAAGTCTTGTTATCCTCTAAAGATTTAATTTCTTCATTTACCGCTTCATACCACCTATCTTTATCGTCATAAGAATCTATATCATTATATTTTTCTGGGACATTACCATTAGAACAAGATAAAAATGATGCCATTAATATATCACCTAAATCTGAATCATCAGTGACAAAATCTTGTAAATATTTTGGTTTAGTTTTCTTTCTTTTCTCCCCAGAATTAACATTATCTGTATCCCTTCACTCAGGTTGTAATGACTCTAAATTATTATCAGAAGTTAAAATTTTCACAGTAGCATGTTGGTTTGGGTTTTATCAGAAATTAAAGGGGTTTTGGTTTTCTCAGGAATACTACCACCATCCTTTTCCTTCCCATCCGAGATAGACTCCACGTCAATACTAATCGTTTCAGGGGACTCTGAAGATGTTTCTTCCCTAAACAATACGTTTCGTTCTATGTGTATCCTCCTTTCATTAGTATCCCATAATCTGTATCCCCCCGGAGCATACCCAACCATTATCAATTTCACACCACGAGGGTCCAACTTCATTCGGATTTTTTGGGGAATATGGGCATATGCAGATGACCCAAATATTCTAAAATTAGACACATTAGGACGTCTTCCCTCCCACATTTCAAATGGTGTAACATTAAGGGAAGCAGTGGGACTACGATTAGTGACATATACCGCATATCGCAGGGCCTCGCCCCAAAGCTCTTTAGGAAGCTGTGAAACTAACAATAATGCACGCGCCTTTTCAGTCAGAGTACGATTCATTCTTTCAGCTACTCCGTTCATTTCGGGATTATATGCAGCAGTGTACTGCAATACTATGCCTTTTTCATCACAAAAGGATTTAAAATTTCTAGATATATACTCACCACCATTATCTGATTTTAACTTCAATATACCATGACCAAAATGATTACTAGCATAATTATAATAAGTCTTAAAATATTCAAAAACCTCAGACTTGTCTCTTAATAAGTAAACTGCGGTGAAGTGGGTAAAATCGTCTATGAAAGTAACAAAGTGTTTATACCCGTCCCACGTAGAAGGGCTAACAGAACAAACATCGGTATGTACTAGTTCTAAGGGTTTCCTAGCCTTATACATTTTCCCTTTAAAAGGAAGGCGTGTAATCTTAGCAAGTATGCATGGTTCACAATGCCTATTTTCAAAATTTTTTTCTTTCAAATCAGTTAAACCATCAACCATATTTTTATTTACTAAAGTTTTCAAACTACTATGGCTTAAGTGAGAAAATCGTTTGTGCCAAATTTCTACTGAATTATCATTGTTGTCTGATTTTGCACCATAATAACCATAATAACAACAACCATAATAACAACCATTAAATATTACTTTAAATACTACAAAATAAAGGGACCCTAGTCTATGCCCAACCATAAGCAATTCATTGGTTTGTGAGAAAACTTTAACTTCCCCTTTATTGAAGATAATCTTTAAACCATGCTTTTCCATTTTGGAACAGATAATAAATTTTTTCTTAATTGTGGTACATATTACACATCATTTAATATAATATCAACTTTAAAATCACTTAAATAACATTTTATTGTTCCTACACCAATAGCCTCTAAATCAACGCCATTTTTGGCAGCTGAGATTTTAATTGGCTTATCCAGTTTACAATAATCAAAGAATAAACTAATGTCATTTACAAGATGAAATGAACTACCTGAGTCAACAACCCATTTAAAACTATTTTTATTCTTCTGTTCGGTGTCAAGGCTAAATGACATAAAACTTACAAATTTGTTACCTTCAGTATTTTCAGTGCTTGTAAGAAATGACTTTCCTCTACCTCTCCCCTGGGTCTGATGACGAGTTGCCTTACTGTCTTCTCGGCCTCCGTTGTACTTCCAGTCGCTACTTCTACGGCCGTGAAGTCTCCAGTCGCCAGTCCTGTGTCGTGCCTGCTGAGTGCTCCTACACTGGGATTTTTTGTGTCCGGGGCGTCCACATCCATAACACAAGAAGATTGAAGAGTCAAGGGATTTGGTCGCTCCTCTGTTCCGTTTTTCCTCTTCCCCAAGCAGTCTGTTTTTCACGAAGTCCATTTTCAATTCCTCCACAGTTTCCAAAGCCGTGATAATGCCTTCATAAGATTTCGGCATGGATAGGAGTAAATAGTTAACCTTTTCTTCCACCGAGAGCTCACTGCCAGCATCCCTAAGTTGTGCAAATAGCTTTTCCATGTCAATAAAATGTTCCATTAAACGTTTCCGTTCGTCGAATTTCATATCGGACAACTCTCTTCTTATAAATAATTTAGATCGTGTACCTTTCTTCTTAAAGCTGTCTTCCATGCTTTTAATCATTTGATAAGCAGATCTGTCCTTTAAGTATTCGAGGTGACTGTCGGCGGTTGCCGCTATTATAATAGCCTGGGCCTTAGCTTCCAATTGCAATTGCTTGTTATCCGTAGATTTACTGAAATCCTCCTTTTCGATCGCCTCTATTGCTCCATTATCCCGCAGGATACTTTTTAATCGAAACTCCCGCGCATTGTAATTGTCCCCCGCGAAAGGGACAATTTGATATTTTTCTTTTGACATTTTCTGTCCTTTAACACTTATTAATCCACTATAAAATTGATGGCCGTACTGGGCCCATAACCCTGTTAAGGATTATGGGGATAATTAAAGATATAATACTTTAAACATAAAACGTGCTTTTTATTAACCTCAAAAAAAAAAACAACATGGAGAGCTTATAACGTCATATAGAATCTTCCTTCATAACCACAGACACCCCAGTGTTGCCATTAAAATACAATATTATATAAATCATTGTTAATTAACATTTTAGCGTATCGGTATCGGTATTGCCAATATTTTGATAAAAGTATCGGTATTGGTATTTGGTATAATATAGGCAAAAAGGCGTATAAGTCGCGGCACGTAACTATCGCTGAACGATACGTGGAGGGGATAGCTGCGAATGTCTTATCAGTACGGGGGACGGAATGTGACTGGAGAACCAATCAACGCGTGCGAACGATACGCACAGATAGTCATACGCAATAATGCGCAATACGGCCAATTATGCGCAATAACGGTCACCGCTAGACTTTCGTGCCACGAGTTGTAATGATGCAACCCTAATGGTGACACAGCATATTATGAAACTATAAGTTATTTTAACATTTCTTATAGTTGCCTTTTACGACAACCACGGGCCGAAATGGGGTTATGGATTCTCTTACGCCGCCATTATACGTATACGTGATGGCAAGTCATATTTCTTCGAACCAGAAAAATTTTAATATTTTTTAACAAAACCGATTGATCGAGACTGGGTTATAATATCGGTTATTTTTTAGTTAAATATGGGTTATAATATTATAATATTGTCATTTACTTTAATTTTGACTTTCTTACTAAGCAGGAACTGGAGGAAGAGCTGTTGGCGTTGGAGCGTCGGATCGACACGGAGTTTAAGAGTGCTGACTAGTCGCCCGACCTAAATAAGAATATAATAGACTGGTAGTAAAGAAAAAGTAGCCTATCGATAGTATACCAGTTTTTATTTGCACCAAATACTATAGATACTTGGAGGAATGTGGACAGTTTTCGTATTTTTATATCAAGCCCTGAAAACGTCACTTGAGTTGAGAATGTTGTTAATATATACCAATGTTTATATTGAATAAGTGTTTTGCAGTTTTGTACGATGGCTGTATTATAATAAATGTAATTTAAAGGGGTATGTATATTTAGTCTCACGATAAAACTGGCACGTGTTATTTTTTTTTAATTTTAACATCTGTAGTCCGCATAGCAATGCATGTTTCGTTTGTAACATATCATTGATGAACACCAGCGTTAATGGGCTTGTAATCGTAGCATGCACCGTTTACTACGACCTTGATGCTCCGATCTGTTATGTCCAACCTGACGGCTAAGGCCTCCTTGGTCTCTACCGCCTAATTGAACATAACATAACATGACACTCACGCCTGTTACCCACAGGGGTAGGCAGAGACTACAGACTTCCATCTGGCACGATCCTGACACATCTGTCTCGCCTCCTTCGCATCCATATACATATTCATACATGCTCGTCGTTTAAGGGTACTTCTAATTTGGCCAGTTTTCAATATATCGCCAATTTGGTCGATAAACTTTCGCCTAGGACGTCCCTTTCGTTTGCGTTTATTCTACTCTCGTGCTTCTTCTGCCACACCCAAATTTCTCTACCATACGTTAAAGTACGGACCAACACAGTATTGTGAATTGCCATACGTGCCTTTTTTGACACATTCTGACTTTTCACAATAGAGTGTAGGTCCCCATTTACTCTATTTCTTGCGTTCAATCGTCGTTCTATATCCTTATCATGATTGATCCCGACGAAAACCCTATTAAATGTCACTAATCAGCTGGTGGTCCTCCTACATACCTTATGAGCTAGCAGTTTGTGATGGATTTCATTATTTTGTAGAACAACTAGGTGATAGCGATAGGCCTGTGGTTGGACGGATCTGAGCGGTCGCCTTTTTTTGGGTATCGGTTGCACCAAAGCTGTCTTCCATGAATTTGGGACTACGCCTAAGGAGTAGTACTGTATAAGACTCGTTTAAACAGTACTAACTCTGAAGCACACAACTTCAGCCCAATAGGTGGGATTCAATTTTGTATCAATTTAACATTTTCATTAATAAAGTATTAAGCTAAAATATAGAAGATGTAATTTTTACATTTAAGCTTAATGCTAATACAAACTATTTATATTAGAAATGTCCTGTTCTCGTACGTGCCACTGGATTGTGCGACTGTACTTAACTCAAGTGTCACGTCTCTATGTGCAAGCAGTTACCCCTTAGAATAGTGCTCAAAGGTTTTAGTGTCTATAATATTTGGTTATTTGATCGTTGTTTTGCAAAAACGGACATTTATCAATAAATATTAACATACTTTTTATATTTCTAATCTGTGGTAAGGTCAGGAATAATACCGACGACACATCTGTGACTATTATTAGGTATAAAAGATATTGACTTTATTGCCATTGTCACTAAGTTCTATAGTTAGTTTTAGTAACGTTAATGCATTGCAGTCGGGTAGTATTGTATAATTTTATCGACATCGTCGGTGGAAAACTAATAAATCGTAAAATTTGTTTATTATTTAATCTCAATTACTACAATGAAATGTTTACATTATTGACATTTGTTTATCGACATTAGGAATGCAGTTTGAATGTTGCTAATTGCAACGTGTTACTAAGCAATGAAGCGTCGCGTTTTGTTATATTTAGAAAGTAAAAACGAACGGTTTTAAAATGTCCTATTAGAATACTAGGAAATTATATTTTGTATTAATTTTGTAACATACCGGTTATTTTTACAGAAACGTCTCTATGGGCACATTAGGTATTTATTATTGTTAATGCGTAAAAAATCGGTGAGTCACTGGTGAGAGCTTACAATAAAGTCGATAAATTGGGTGCTTTGCCAGAAAAAAGCGCTAGCAAGCGCTTGTAAGCAAAATGGCGATCGTAATCGGTAAGCGCTGTCAAATCGTAAGTAGCTATTTTCCTCCAGGACACGATGTTAGTTTTAACCGGGGAATCTAACCTAATTTAAATATATGTTTGTAAAGTATGCATATTAAAAACTTACCAATCATGAGTTTTTAATAGCATGTATATGTTTATTCATGTCATTATATTACTTAAAACTAATATTGCACAAAACAACTTATAAACTCTACTTCAAAACAAACAAATTAAATAAGCAAAATGGCGGATTGTGTCAGCGCTACTGAAGTAGCAATCGTGTCCTGCCCGAAAACTATTTTAGCGCTTATAAGCGCTTGCTAGCGCTTTTTTCTGCCAAACGCACCCATTATTTTAAGGTTAAATTACTTACTGTAAACATCATGATATTTCTTGACCCACAGACTGATACTTGAACCCAAAAATGTAAGCCTGTCTTATTCTCTATTTTCTATCTTCTACTGCACGTAAGTTTTCAATAGAACTGAAATACTTTGGCGCTGTGATGAACCGTGTGATTTTATCTTTTAGCTGTTAACATTTATATTGTGGCTTCACTGTTTTCGTAGAAAAAACTGAAACAGAAACCGACACCTAACCTGTAAATATATGTTTGGAAACTAAATTAGGAAAACTTTTAGATTATCGCTAGATGTTACTCCTTCTAACATACACAAATTATATTAATGTTCATATTGTTATTATCAATAGGTATAAAGTTATTACCATTTCCATAATCTCTTCTAAATAAATTTCAGTCATAATATATTTTTCCCTAAATACGTTATTTAATAATAATTCACAGCGTGCTTCCTATTTTAAATCTGTTACATATTAGAAATACAACTAGGTCCTTCTTAGTATTCTTTGATTAAATATTATAATTTGAATATGCAAAATTATTTAAATATTGTAATCATACACTACATCTACATATTGTACGCTAATAAAAACACCGAAAAACGAGTTGATACAATGTTATAGATACATATTCGTAGCCGTACTGAAAACTAAATGACCCACTGCATGTGTAATATTTAGATACCTCTAAGAATACTGCCCCTAGAATAAAATAATAAAAATAATATGGCCTAAATATTATATCCAACATGCATAGGAGATTTTTCAGAGTAAAGCCGAGAAATTTCAACTTACGTCGAACACACATAGAACAGTAAAATGAGTTGCTTTAATGTAGAATAACATTAAATAATATAATAAAAAGCGAGCTTCATTCAAACAAAAATATCCAGCATTATACATCTTAGAATACATTATCCTATGTACTATATATACTAGGTATGTAATATAATATTGCTCCTATTTTATCGAATGGTCTCAGTTTTACACTACTGTTCACAATGTTTGTGTTTTATAGAACTTTACGGCTTTATAACATGCCATATTTAAATAACTCAAATCAAATCCATTATTTACTACAATTAATTTCGTTATTCATAATATTATGTCTTACTAATTAATAATTCGGGAATTATTGGAAAGCTTATTGTAATAACTCCTGCGCCCACCCATTCTATATCAACGCTCTAAGTATTTTAGGTAAATAATAAATACAGGAAAAAATCTTACATTATATAATTTTTTTTTCTGTTCAAGAAGTTTAACAGATTTTTTGTCTCTTAAAATGAAATTAATGATTGAAGTAAATTATATTAGGCACGTAAATAATATGCCAATGATTACTTTAAATTCTTCGTTTCTAACACGAACTCAACAAAACCACGATCAACACAATCACAGCAAATTGATTACTTACATTTTCTAATTGTGACTATATTTCATTTTTCCACAGCTTTCTAATTCACATGACCTTTATTGAAAAACAATATTATTCAAACTCTTTATCCTTTAAAATAGAGAGTTTTACCATAAAATAAAAATTACCTTTTATTTTTTAATCAACATCCGTAATCCATCTTGTGACCAGCACTTGTCTTTCCGCCTAAAGTAGCACTTCCGGCTACCTTACCTGCATGGAGGGGGCACCTCACTACGGTTTGGCTTTGTTATTTAAGTAGTGATGAGCACCAGGTCTCGTCATTATGGCACTCAGGATGCACCAGGTAGCCCTTACCTTGATTCCGGATATTGATTAAAAAATAATGGTAAGTTTTATTTTATGGTAAAACTCTATTATTTGTTATGAGTGAGTGATGTGTTTATTATCACCTGGTGCCAATAACTTATAATAGTTTTTAACGCTATAATGTGTAAGGCGCACAATAAAAGAGTTATTGCAAGAGATAGATATTATAGAATGCCTGAAAACACGGATAAAACGACATTTTCTAAAATGAATCCTAGCTAAATCGATTTATTGCCCCCGAAACCCCCTGGACACTAAATTTTATGAAAATCGTTGGAACCGTTTCCGGGATTCCGATTATATACATATACGAGTACATAAATACAAGAATTGCACGTTTAAAGGTATTAGACACATTATATTTAAATTAATTTGCTTACTTTTATAGTCGTGTGAAATTGCATTATTTTAGTTTTATTTATATTTACAGTCATATTGTTAGAATTTAACCAATCATTTATGTCTTTTACAGCAACAAAAATTATATATTACACCACAATTACATTATTTGACTATAACTGGCGATCATGACATTAAGTTTTGCTTTTGTTAATTACAATAATAAATCAAACGAATACATATAATATTTGCTTTATCAATCAATTAATGGCATCAACATAATTTGATAAAGTTACAGAATTATTTGCCACAATTTCCTTTAATTGTTTTTATAGTAATTTTGAAATGTGTGCAAAATTTTCCAATTACTCGTCGCAAGGATTTTATCTCGTCATTATCATCATTACAGCCCTTCACAAGTCCACTGCTAAACATAGGCCTCCCCCAAGTAATGCCATGCCACAAAGCACGGTCCTGAGCCACCTGCATCCATCGACATCCTGCATAT